ATATAAAATGCAATTATGTTCATTGGATCGGCCCATATTCAATTTGGGCCATTGGGCGTTTACCGTAGCTGTGAGTTAGTGGGGTGGTATTTGAATTTTAATTTTTTTTTTTTTGTCAAGTGGAAATCACTTGAAATTTGGTGCGTTTACCTTTAAACCATAGGCAAATCTAATAAAAATATTTAAAAAATAATCCATAAAATTAAATAGACTAAAATACCACTGAAAATTTCAGGGGTATTTTGGTCAAATTTTTTTTTCCAGTAAGGGGCTCCTAGATGAGAAAGAATGGAAGTATCAAAATTCATACTATTTGGATTTTTAGAAAAAATTTAAAATTCAAATACAAAATGCAGTCGTGACTGTTCGATTGGCACAAATTCAATCTAGGCTGTTGGGCTTACTATTCCATCAGCCTAGGGCTTGACATGATCTTTTCCCATAAATATATATGTATACATGTAGCTTCCAAATCTTACTTTCAATCTTGGAGTCATTTGCAACTGGCAAGCATATTTCCTTGAACCATGTTAATTCTCCTTGAACTAAGTTTCCTGCATTTGAGTTGAAGCAAATTTTATTTTTATTCCATTTGATCTTATCTTATTTCAGATATTGGCTTACATATTGGCCCTTCTTGTGGGTCTGCATGACTTTTATTTTGTTTCCTTGAACTATATCATAGGGTATACTTTAAAATCGTATGATACTTATTTAAGGTCCTTTTTATTGTAAAATATTTACTAATATTTTGTTTCATATTGGTGTATTTACTGCGTCTAGTATAGCAAAGGAAGTGTGTCAATAATTTCTTACTGTTTTATGCGGCATGCCATGCGATGCATATTTCTTCCTGCAGGTGGCAATGTTTGTGGTTCTATCTATGGTTTTGAGGAAAAAGCCTGATATTCTTGTTAACCTGTTATCAACTTTGAAGACTAATGCAAAGTATCAGGGTCAAGATAAACTTTTGCTGACCATATGGATAGTTGGGCAGGTAATGCTCTTTAATTTGGTTTTAAAGCTCTCGAACTGCGGATAAACAATGAAGTTGCTGAGGGGTTTTAATATTTTCTAATATTAGGGAAATATACAGTCTTATGGACTGCAGAAAACCATTATATCTATTGGGTTATGACCAAAAGGTGAGATGGTCGATAATATTGGTGAGATAGTGCGAACGACCATCACAATCGTGTTCTGTATTGGTGGGTCCTACTATCTCCCCATGTCATCCATTATTTCATCTGAGTGTCATGATGCAGTTGACTGTTGTTGCTACAGTCATTGTACTGCAGTATACTATTTAATATTTAGGTTTTTAGACCGAGTTCATGAAATGGATGTTGGCTGGTCAGGCTTGCCAGGGTGACTTGGTAGTTGGAATGCTCCTTTGGGTACAACTTCTCTTGCCCATGACTTTGGGCAAATCAAGTAACCCTCTTTCCAGGGACTTGGTCTTACAGCTGCTTGAGAGGTTGGCTTCATTTACATTATTTCTTTAGTTTGTGTTTTTGAGTTTTACATCTAGTCATACACGTGGTTATTGGGAAGATACTTTTCTTTCGAATTTATTCATGACTATGTTTGAAATTATATGTTTTAGTTAAATTGTTTTTTAAAGTATTTTTCCTTATTGAAAAAAGGTATAGTAAGTTTTTATTTTTTATTTATTTATTTAAGTTATGGTGTGAGTAAGAGTTGAAATTTGATATGCTTTTGCAATGTAAAAATATGTATAATATCATCCAATAATTACAGTTAAATTTAATTTGTAAAATTTAAGGTATTTGTCTAAATTTTCAATAAACAGAAAAAAATAGTTTTTTTTATTAATTTTGTAAGTATAACTATTTAAGATAAATGGTGAATTTTTAAGGGTCTCCGAAATATTTGTTTAAGCTTTAAATGAAGGGTGCAGTTGGCATACGGATGCATCTGTAGCTGTAGAGGTAAGGTCCACCTTCAAATTTTGTCATGGTATATAATTTTGATGTGAAATGTTCTTAAGATTATCTCAAAATCTATTTTTATATCTAATTATAAAATTTTAAATTTAAAAAATGGTTAAAATCAAGTTGATCTATAAACATATGAAAATCTTGAAAATGGACGGTGTAGATAATATGTTGTAAAATGCACTATTTCCGAAACTTAAAATCTATTTATTTTTCATGGTCATACATCTCGATGGCGAGATGATCAATCAAAGGGTTTTTCAACATTAAAACTACCTTTTCCGATGGATTTTTGAGGTGCATCCGTAGTTCTACATTATAAGGTCTCATCCTTATATAAACTTTTTTCTTCGTTTATATAACAATATTTATATTGGTTCTGCAACTCCTATTCTTGTGAAATTGACAGGATAACACTATTATTTCTTTGTCTCTTTTATTGGAATAGCTAGAATTCCCATTTGTTTTATAGTAAAATGACTGTATTATATTTCGGGATTGTTTATAAAGAGATAATTTATTTTTATTACAAGGAGGTCACAACTAGTTCGGGATAATTAAGGTTTTGTTTTATGCTTTAGATATGTCATAACCATTCCCAAGTTTTTCTCAAATTTCCTATCTTTGAGGGTACCTAAAGAAATAAAAGATAAAGCATGATAAAATTGGGATAAATACATAGATAGTAATGCCCATGGAAGTAATCAGGATAAATTTCCTATAAAAATGTAAGCTAGAGATTTGTTAAACTTACTGCCCTCATTTATGTCACACTTGTGCTTTTTTTTTTTTGGCAGAATTTTTGCATACCCAAAGGCCCGGCCTATCTTAGTGAATGGAGCTGTGAGAAAGGGTGAGCGCTTGGTTCCTCCTCCTGTGCTCGAGTCTTTATGGCTGGTTACATTCCCTGCACCTTCAGCACGCATCAAGGTGAGCCAGAGATTGTGAAGTCAAGTACTGTTTTCTAATAGACAGAGCGTGATGAGATGAGTTCAATGCGTCTTCTCTATTTGGCAAATAAACCACAAATCATTTGGATCCAGGCTATAATTCTTTTTAATTTTGTGCAGGCAACTGAAAGATTCGAGGCAGTATATCCATCACTGAAGGAGGTGGCTCTAGCAGGATCCTGGGGAAATAAATGGGTTACAAGAACTGCAGAACAACTTTTGCCTAATGCACTTGCAGCAATAGATGACAGTAAGTCCTAATTTTTTACACTCAAACCTCTCTCTCTCTCTCAACACATTGGCTGAAGAAGTCGGTACAGATAAATGAGATAGAGCTGGAAGCAGGTATAGAGTGATACCGGGATTACAATGAGGAAATTAAAAGACGTCCACTTTTTACTCATCTGGAGCATAAGCCAATGGGAGTCTTTCTTTTCCATGGGATGTTAAGTTTGAGACTGTTCTTTTTCATGCAGGTAACCAAGCACTATCTGATGAAGCAATTGACATTTTCTTGTGGTGCCTGAGAAACAGTTACCGATGTTACAAGCAATGGGTGTGTCCTGTGTTTTCTTTTTCCACTTTGTCAAAAAGCGCATCTTGTGATTGTTCGATACCTTTTGTTGATTTATCATCTGAATCTTTGTCTTTTTCTTTGTTTTTCTCTAATCATCTCCAATACCAATAATCAGGAGGACCTTTACTTGGATCACATATATGGAAGCATAACCATTTTACATAAGCTTTCAGAGAAATGGGGGGATACCTCTTTCAAGCTTTGGGAAGGGGAGAGTGAAAAGAAAGTTGCACTCGAAAGGCTAGGGCTGGCCCTCACAGCCATGAGGGTGAAGGTACAATTATACATAACAACTCATACCTGAGTATGCTATAATCCATTGGAGTATATTGCAGGTGCTCCAAAGGGCTATCTGCTGTCCCTTCCCAACGACAGGCGGTGGAGATTATTTTATGTGGATGAATGGCTTGATAGGCCACACCAAGGTCCACTGTCCACTGTCATGAACGGGTGGGGGATATTGAGGATCATGCGCCATACTCCATTGGGTTGTAATGTACCTTAAAATACTTATAATGGCTTGTTTTGTCTTGCCTCATAATGACAGGTCAAAACAAGAAACTCACATAAAAAGTGAAACCAATATAGCCATCAAGTTGGACCATGTTTTAGTTTCTAACTTTCAATATGTTTTTCTCTCTACACAGAACCAACTCGCCTTGAAAGGTGAGGCAGAATATGACGGTGATGACGCTCCAATCCGAAGTGCTGAAAAGTATTGCAGTGTTCTAATGAGAAGGCTTCCTCGTAGTCGTGGTGGTTGTGTCAAGGGATGCCTCAAGGGCGGGGTGTTCTTTCTCACACTTGGTGTTGCAGTTTATGCAGCTATAGCATCGCCATATTTGGAATCTTTGGATTGGAAGAAGGTGTCAGTCATGTTCGGATCGCCACAGTCCTTCTGAAGTTAATGGCTTGGCCATCAGTTTTGTTGATGCCATTGTCATAGAGAGAGAGAGAGAGAGAGAGAGAGAGAGAGAGAGAGAGAGTAGTACGTTACGAACGTAACGGAGGGACGAGTCGTGTTAGTAGTTTACGTTTTCGTTTTCGGTTTTAGGGTTTGGGTTTTGGTTTTCGGTTTTTTCCTTTCTT